CCATGGTTCCAGAGTCCTGGGATCGAGCCCCGAGTCAGGATCCTTGCTCTGTGGGCAGCCTGCTTCTCCCTCTGCCTGCTGCTCCCCTTGCTTGTGTCCTCTCCCTCTCTGTCAAATAAATAAATAAAATCTTAAAAAAAAAAAGTAATGTTAGATTTGCAGAAGAGTTGCAGAGATAATAGAGTTTGTAAATACCCCTCAGCCCTGTCTGCTCACTGTCCTCCAATCAGCGACAATTTCCTGGTCTTTCCTTGTCTTTTGTCACCTTGGTACTTTTGAAGAGGGCTGGTCGGATATTTTGGAGTGTCCTTCAGTTTGGCTTTCCCAAGGTCAGCCTGAAGTTATGGAAGTTGGGGAGAGGAACTCCATAGGGTGAAGTGTGGTTCCCGTTGTATCATGTTAGGGGGCCCTGTGATCTCGAGGCTTGTTACTGAGGGTGCTAACCTAATGGTTTGGTTCAGGTGGTGCCTGACAGATTCCTCCGCGATCAAGTCTCTATTTTTCCCCTTTCCACATTCTATCTGTTGGAAGGTAAGTCTGGCTCACGCTCTGGGATGGTGGGGGAACCAAGCTTCGCCACCTGGGGAGGAGGGCATCAGAGGACCTGGCGACGCATATTAAAGCTCCCACAGAAATGGCCTATATTCACAGGGGAGAGAGTTGGAGACCACACAAATATCCCTTTTCACTTCGAAGTTTCACTTGCTAACCTGAGTGTTCATAGGTGGGTTTGGCCTACAGCCATTATTACTACTGTGGTGCCCTCGGGGCAATTTTTCTAATTCTCTCAATACTCTATCTATTGACTGGAACTCTCCTGGGAGGAAGATTTGTCCCTTCTCCCTCTTTCATTAAATGTATTCGATCAATTATCTATATTTTTTACGTTTTATTTTATTTTTATTTATTTATTTATTTTTAAAAAGATTTTATTTATTTATTTGACAGAGTGAGAGAGATCACAAGTAGGCAGAGAGGAAGGCAAAGGCGGAGGGGGAAGCAGGCTCCCTGCTGAGCAGAGAAGCCTATGCGGGGCTTGATCCCAGGATCCTGGGATCATGACCTGAGCCGAAGGCAGAGGCTTAATCCACTGAGCCACCCAGGTGCCCCTTATTTTATTTTTTAAAAAGATTTTATTTATTTATTTGAGAGAGAGCAAGAGCACACACGAGTGGTGGGGAAGGCTAGAGGGAGAAGGAGAAGCAGACTTCCCACTGAGCAGGGAGCCCAACACAGGGCTGGATCCCAGGACCCCAAGATTGCCACCTGAGCCGACCCTATGCCTTTTCAACTAACAATGTAACTTGGAGGTCAGTCCAGATCAGTACATAAAGGTGTTCTCACTCTTCGACCTAATGTTGCGGCGTATGAATGTGCCACGCTTTTGTTAACTAGTCCCCTGCCAATGAACATTTAGGTCGTTTCCAAAGGTTTTCTCTTACAAACAATACTGCTTTGTTCTTCCTACATGTGGAATTTACATGCCCACATAAGGGGGGTGGGGACCAAAAGGCAAGTGTATTGTCCATTTTGATATTGCCAAACTGCCTTTCTTGGAGTCTGCACCAATCTACACCCATGCTAGTTTCCTAGGGCTGCTCTACATGGTTATCACAGAGTACTGGCTTCAAACAGCATAAAGGTATTGCCTCACAGTTCAGGAGGCTGAAGTGTGAAATCAAGGAGTGGGCAAGGCCACCCTCCTTCTGAAGTCTTTAGGGAAGAAGACTTTTTGGATTCTTCTAGTTTCTGGTGGTTACAGGTGACCATTGCCATCCCCCGGCTTATTGGCCCATCATTTCAGACCCTGCCTCCGTCTTCAGGTGGACATCGGCCCTCTGTGTGTCTGGCATGTCCAAATCTCCCTTTTCTTTTCTTCTTAGGATGAGTTATTGGATTAGGGCCTACCTTAATCCAATGGGAACATCTTAACTTTATTATATCTGCAAAGACCCTATTTTTAAATAAAGTTACATTCACAGACTCCAGGTGGACGTGAACTTTGAGGAAACAGTACTGAACCCAGTATACATTCCCCCTAGCAAAGTATGGACAGTGGACCAGCCCCCTTTAACATGCTTCAAGGATTCACGCGACAGTTGGTGTCGGTGCGAATTTACTTTGGTTATTGGATTCTGCTTCTCTGAAAAGAGATTCCCTGTGGGGATGGGGCTTTGTGGGGGCCTGGGTTTTATTGGGCTTACAGACCAGGGTTGGCTTCCTCCATGGCAGCTGGGAAGGAAAACTAAAGTGAGACATAGATATTCCGGGGGTGGAGGCCTACTTCCATTTCTGGGGCCATCTTGTCAACGTGAAATTCCATCCCTGGTCCTGTCCAGCTGAGGGCACGAACTCAGAGTGTCCAAGTCATAGGTCACACGTGGCCTCTCAGGAGTTGAAGCTATCCCTGGGAATGTTTCCTCTTGCTCAGTGCTCAGTCAAATTTTGAACCAGATACTAATTTTTTAAAAATATCTACTTATTGGGTCACTTGGGTGGCTCAGTGGGGTAAAGCCTCCGCCTTCGGCTCAGTTCATGATCTCAGGGTCCTGGGATCGGGCCCTGCATGGGGCTCCCTGCTCCACAAAGAGCCTTCTCCCCACCCCCGCCCCCGCCCCCACCGCCTGCCTCTCTGCCTACTTGTGATCTTTGTCTGTCAAATAAATAAACAAAAATCTTTTTAAAAAATTTTTAAAAATTATTTATTTATTTGACAGAGAGATCACAAGTAGGCAAAGAGGCAGGCAGGGTGGGGGGGGATGCAGGCTCCCCTCTGAGCAGAAAGCCCCATGTGGGGCTCTATTCCAGGACCCCTGTGATCATAACCTGAGCCAAAGGTAGAGGCTTAACCCACTGAGCCACCCAGCAACCCCCATACTGATGTTTTAAAAATGGATACATCTCTGGGGTGCCTGGGTGGCTCAGGCAGTTAAGTGCCTGCCTTTGGCTCAGGTCATGATCCCAGAGCCCTTGGATCAAAACCCATGCTAGGCTCCCTACCCAGCAGGAAGCCTGTTTCTCCCTCTCCCACTCCCCCTGCTTGGTTTCCCTCTCTTGCTGTCTCTCTGTCAAATAAATAAATAAAATATTTGAAAAAATTAAAAATGGATACATCTCATATACAAATTTGGATTCTAACTTCTCTGGAAAAAAAAAAAATCTGTTCACACTAAGCTCACAATTCCACAGGGCAACAAACATTCCTAAATAGGTTTGTTGGCGCTCAGTATCGTCTCCCCAGCTCTGCACCTTCATACCAAGGGGCAGTGCAATGCAGTGACCCAGACTGTGGACTCAGGAGCTCAACTGCTTGCGTTTGAACCTCAGCTCTGCCCCCTTGCTACCTGTGCATCCTTGGGTCAGCTGCTCAATATTCCCAAGCCTCCGGGTCCTCACCTATAAAACTACGATTGATTTATTCAAGCCATTTTTATCAAGCATCTACTCTGTGCCAGGTGTTTTCTAGGCCCTTGAGGTATGTCAGCAAACAAAGTGAACGAAGATCCTCCTTTTGGCGGAGATCACACTGGGGCGGGGGGAGACAAGTAACGGAGGCACATATAACAAATAGGTAAGCTGTAGAGTATACTGAGAGGGGACAAATGCCACAGGCTGTGGGGACGGAGAGAAGCTGGAGGAGGCTGTATTTGCGAGGTTGGCTAGCCACTGGGTTGGATTTAGAGGGTGAGGAAAGACAGGAGCCAAGATGGCTCCAAGGGTTGGGCTAGAGCCAGGAGGGAGCTGGAGCGCCGCCCTCTAAGGGGGGGTGTGAGGGTGGGGGTAGGGGGGACTCGCAGGGGCGGGTCTGAAGGACAGGGTTAACAGGAGCAGTTTGGGATAGTTGAGCCGGAGCTCAGCATCCGGGTGATCATGGTTGGAAATACAAACCTGCTGTCTGGGAGCCAGATTTGGGAATAATAGTCCTTACCTCATAGGTTGTTGTGAGGGTAAATGAATGAATGTGTGTCTGTTAGGCACTGAGAACAGTGTCTGCCCTCTGGTAAGTGCTCATAGGGGTTGGCTGTTTGCGTTGCCCTGGAAATGATCCCAGCTCGTGCCAGCTCCAGATCCCAGAGCTCTGGGCTCCAGGAGCTTACCTCCCCCTCAGGGATGGGGGCAGTGGGTTGTCAAGACGCTGGAGAAATCTCCTTCCCAACAAGTCAGTACTTTTTTTTTTTTATTTATTAAAAAAGATTTTATTCATTTTGCAGAGAGAGAGAGAGAGACCACAAGCAGGGAGGGCAGCAGGAGAGAGAGAAGCAGACCCTTCACTGAGCAAGGAGCCCATGGGGGGCTCCATGAGGGGCTCCATGCAGGATCCTGGGATCATGACTCCAGCCGAAGGCAGCCCTTAACCGACTGAGCCACCCAGGTGCACCCCAACAAGCTTTTTTTTTTTTTTTTTTTTTTTTGACAGATCACAAGTAGGCAGAGGCAGGCAGAGGAGGCAGGCTCCCTGCTGAGCAGAGAGCCCAATGCGGGACTCGATCCCAGGACCCTGAGATCATGACCTGAGCCGAAGGCAGAGGCTTTAACCACTGAGCCACCCAGGCGCCCCACAAATTAGCATTTAAATCCTCCCCTTTAAGTCGCCCCATTTCTCTGACCACTAGTTAACTCATCTGTAAAATGAAGATGAGGGGCACTCAGATGGGTGGCTCAGTGGGTTAAGCCTCTGCCTTCGGTTCAGGTCATGATCTCAGGGTTCTGGGATGGAGCCCCGCATCCGGCTCTATGCTCAACAGAAAGCCTGCTTCCCTCCCTCCCCCCACGCCTGCCTCTCTGCCTACTTGTGATCTCTCTCTGTAAAATAAATAATCTTTAAAAAAAAAAATAAAAATAAAATGAAGATGATAGTCCCCTTTCCCAAAGAGTTATCGTGAGGAGCTAATGAGAAATAGTGGATTTAAGTGTCCAGCACACAGCAGGAGCTCGTAACAGTCTTTTATCCTCTCTACCCATGCCCCATGGTCAGGGAGAAAAGAAGCCAAGCCAGCATTCGTCCCAGCTCTTTATTGAAAGGGAAAGTAAGATGGAAGGGGTCCCAAGTGGGGAAGGGGCGTGGGGCACTGGGGCAGTAGTGCCTGCCTGGTCGGGGAGAACCGAGGACACTCCCAAGAGATCCCTCCAGGGTGGAGTTGCGACGGAGAGGGGGAGGGTAGGGGCGGGATCCGTGGGCTCCTCTCTCCAGCTGTCTTGGAGCTCCCTCTAGTGGTAAGAACGGAGGTGATGCATCTGGCTGGGGAGCCTGCGGGATGAAGGTTCTGGTGCCCCCAGGAGGACGCATTATGTTACAGGGTAAGGTCAGTACCTGTGGGTGATGGTTACTAAGTGGGCGGATTTTGAAGGGCAAAGACATCCCAGTTCTCCTGCCCCTCGGCTATAAGAGACGATTTAAATGCATGTCCAAATTCTCTTCTGAGCTACCTAGGACCATCAGGCCTCCAACCAGGCTCCCTGGACCACCTGCCTCCCACCCCTGGAGGTCCCCTGGAAGCCAGGAAAGTGTCCGGCAGGTCCCCTGTTCCAGCCATAGAACAAGAGCTGGCCCAAGAGGAGGCAGTAGATGTGGGTCCCCATTCCTGCGGACTGCCAGCTTTCCTCAGCCACCTCGTCTGTAAACTGGGGTTAATAAGAGCCCATCATGGGCCAGACTCAGGGGCTCTGAGGCCAAAACGCAGAGAAAACATTCTGTAGGAGGTGACTGCTTCTGCACCATCCTGGAAGGGAAGTCCCAGTGAGTGCTCGTGACCCATTCGCAGGCATGCTGGAGCAGCTGACAGAGGAAGGGGTCAGAGGATGAGAATGACTCCACTACGCACCCCCCCACACACTTTGTCTATGGTAATGCTTATATCTGGGGAGAGGAAAGTCATGGAACTCTAGAATCTGATCCAAACCCATCATAGTATGGAGACAGGAACTGATGGTCTGAAAGGAATAGGGGCTTCCCCGGGTCACACAGAGTAGAGTGGGGATAGATTGAGAGGGAAGTTTTCGGCTCCTGAAGGGTCTTGGGAAGGAAGGGTAGGTGGGAAGCTTTGGGAGGACCTGGGGAAAGTTGGCATCTTGGAGGAATTGGGGCCCAGTCCCTGGGAAGGGGCACTGGGATTTGAGCTCCAGACTCTCTTGACCTGGAGTTGGGTCTTCTGATAGGTGGAAGGGGCCCCGCTGAAGGGGAGAAGTTAGGGAGACAACTGGAGGGTCAGGTGTGGTGGGACAGAGGAATGGTCCAGACCCCAGGTCTGGCTCCTCCTCTGGCCTTGTGGGCAGCTCAGGAGTCCCGCTTGGGCTGGATGGTCTGCACAGAGGATTGCCCAAAGGGGCTGGCAGGTGGTGAAAACCAACACTGGCCATTGGCATCGCGGAAGATGGGGGACAGCTGCTGCTCTGGCTCATCCCCGAAGATCTCCACGTGGCCATCAGCTTCGGTGTCCAAGGGTTCTGCCTTGGTGTCCTGGCTCAGCCAGCCAGTCATGGCCCAGAGCAGGCAAATGGCCAGCAGGATCCCAGCCGCCATGCAGAGAGCTGTGCCTGCCAAGCGGCAGATGCTCAGGGCCTGGTTGTAATCAGCTGCTCGCTGATCCAACACCAGGAATTCCCCCTCTCCGATACCCTCCAGCTTGGGGGGCACTGCATAGCCAGTGGTCAGGGCCGCCACACCCAGCAGCAGAAGCAGGGTTCCCGAAGACAGACTGATCTGGAGAGAGGCAGACAGATTGGGAGGTAGTCAGGGTCAGCCTGACTGTTGATCCCAACTAGACTTAACAGTAACAACTTGGTCTAACCTTAAGAGATGGGAATTACAGGAGAGTCACAGAATACACTTCCTAAGATCGAACTGATGAGGGGCACAAACTGTCATGTTCTACTTGGAGTCTTGAAACCCCTAGATCAATGTCTTTCCAACTCCCACTTAGCAGTAGGTTTTTCCAGTACCTTGAGTTTCCTTCCATCATTATTTGGGTCCCATCTCATCTCTGTATCCTGTCTGCCCCCTTCCTGCAGTTGGGATAACTCCTACACATCCCTCAGATCTCATCTCAAACTCACCTCCTCAGGAAGCCTTCTGGGATGCCCTTGGCCTGGGTCAGGTCCCCTGCTTTGCATTTGTACAAACACTGTGCACATTTTTTCCTCAGTGCACTCACCATGGTGCACACTTGAACTTTCGTTACTATGTAAGTGATATCTGCCTGTCCCACTGGAACGAGAGACTGGAGAGCCATGAGAACAGACACTGTCTGTTTTGGGTCACTAGGTGTCTTCCTAGCACGACGCTGGTACAGAGCAGTAGCTGAGTGGATGTTTGCAGAATGACTACATGAACCACAGCTAGGAGCTCCTAGAGGAGAGGGACCACATCTTAAATTCTCTGTCCTCAAGAGCCTAGCACATTGCCTGGCAATTAGAGGATGCTCAAAGTTTTAAAATACATACTCATTTTCTCCTGGGAGTCTTCCCTGCTCACCACAGGTCCTGAGAACATTTTCCTTCCTGGCACCCTCTGATCACTTGGCCTGAGGTCTCTAGATCTTTACACTTTGCCTCCCCAGTAGAGTGAAGCCCTTTGAAAGCCAAGGGGAAGGGCTCTTTGCCCCAGTCACCTTATAGTATTTAGCAAAGAGCTATGCCCCTTGTAGGAACTCAGCTTACTGCCACTTCCACCCCTTTCCCTACACTCTGCGCCCTCACTGACCACTCTCCCTGGCTGTTGGAGACACTCACTGTTCCTCTCCTCCACTGCCCCAATATGTCATTGAGAAGCCACAGGAAGAGTTAGCTGAGATGAACTCCACTTCCTTACAGTCAGTGTGTACTGTGCCCTCTGGCCATAGTAATTAGTTCAGAGACAGGCAAGTGATCCAATCAGAGCCAATGCAATGCTTGACAGGACTCCTGGAAATGGAAAGCAGTGTTTCTTTTCTGAAGGAAATACTGGAGGAAATTCTGATTTCCCGCGGATGGTGTGGAGTGAAAATGCTGAGGGTCAGAATGGTAGCAGCTACTTGGAGAACATGTGCATAGATTCTGAAGCTAAAGGGGCCACGTGGGCGGGGGTACCATGGGGAACCTGAAGACTAAGAGAAATCTTGAACTGCTGGATTGAACTTTACCTGAAGTTGCTTAATCTCTGGTCTTTTCAATAAAGTGAGCGATATTTTCCCTTCCTTGTTTAAGCCCACTTGAGGTTTTTTGTTTTGTTTTGTTTTGTTTTTTAAGATTTTCTTTTTAGGTAATCTCTATCCCCAGTGTGGAGCTCAAACCTACAACCCCAAGATCAAGAGTCTCACATTCTACCAACTGAGCCAGCCAGATGCCCCAAATTTGTATGGTTTTGAATGACTTATCAACAGTAGTCATTTGCCAATTTTTAAAAAAGTAGGCTCCACATCCAATGTGGGGCTTGAACTCACGACCGTGAGATCAAGAGTCGCACGCTCTACCAGCTGAGTCAGCCAGGTGTCCCCTAATTGGGTTTTTGTTGCTTCTACCTGCTGTACCATCTTTTTTCCATTCACTGATCCCATCTCCTCCCTGCAGCCCCGAGAAATCCCAGAAGTTGCTCCTCCTCTGGCCTTACCTTCCAGCACAGTGTGGGCCAGGGTCGGCGGGGACACAGGATGGGAGGCCCCTCAGGGTCATCACTGAGGGCCGCACCTGCACAGTCTTCGTAGAAGAGGTGCAGGTAGGAGCGGACCCCATACCATTTGCCATCTTCCACCTTGGGCCCGCGGCTACAGCTGCAGGAACGGTCACAGCCTGGCATTGTGGATCTCTGTAGGGGGAAGCAAGGTGCAGACAGGGAGAGAGATCCGTGAGACCCTCCCACACCCCCGGAATCTTTGTGCGTCATCCGCTTTTCCTCCTATTTTAGATAACCCACACTCATAACGCAGCCTGGCCTTCTAGGTACTGGTTTGTCTTTCCCTAAGTACGCTGTGAATGAGCCAACGCATAGGGGCACTAAGGCCAGTGCTTAACAATTATAGATGCCAGTAAATATGCTTGTTTAATCTGGAGGCCACCCAGTGGCTGGGACTGTGGGTTCTGGGGGTCTGACTGTCTGGATTGGAATCCCAGGTCTGGGTCGGAATCCCAGATCTACCACTTCCTGGCTGTGTGACCTTAGACAAGTGCTTTCACCTCTCTGAAACTTGGTTTCCTTACCTGTAGAACAGGGCTAATAATCACCCCCGCTTTACTATATCTGAGGCCAAGGAATGGCACCAGTTGTCATTACCATTACTGTAATTTCTTCCTTATTATTGTTTTTTTTAAAGATTTTATTTATTTATTTGATAGAGAGATCACAAGCAGGCAGAGAGGCAGGCAGAGAGAGAGGAGGAAGCAGGCTCCCTGCTGAGCAGAGAGAGCCCGATGCGGGGCTCGATCCCAAGACTCTGAGATCATGACCTGAGCCGAAGGCAGCGGCTTAACCCACTGAGCCACCCAGGCGCCCCTCTCCCTTATTATTTTTATTCTAAACTTTTTGAACCCTGTATCTGGAGTAAGAGGTTCTCATCCCCACCTCCTCTCAAAATCTTCCCCTCTTCCCGGTACTCTTGGGGGTAACTGTCATGACTGACACTTGTCCAATCAGGCTGAGCTCCCAAGGTGCAAGGCTCTAAAAAAATCCTACCCGGGGATGCCCCCCACAAGGCAAGAGCCTCCAAGTCCCAAATCATCTTGACTCCAAAGGAGGTGAAAGCCAGGGTCCCTCTTAGTCTCAGGGTGTTTTGTTTTTTGTTTTTGTTTTGAGGATTTTTCACAAGCAGGAGGAGTGGGAGAGGGAGAAGCAAGCTCCCCGCTGAGCAGGGAGCCTGATGCAGGGCTTGATCCCAGGATGGTGGGATCATGACCAGAGCGGAAGGAAGGCAGATGCTTAACAACTGAGCCACCCAGGCATCCCTTGGGGGGTGTTTAGATTTCTAAGGAAACCTATCTAAGAAACCCTCCTTTTAGAATAATACCCTTTTTTATTGAGGTATATTTGGCATATAACATCGTATTCGTTTCAGGTATACAACATGATTGGGTATTTGTAATGATCACCATAATAAGTCTAGTTAACCTCTGTCACCATACCTAGTTACCAATAAATGTCCTTCCTTGTGAGAGAACCTTTAAGATCTACTCTCTTGGCAACATTCAGATATACAATACAGTATTATTAACTAGAGTCACCAGGCTACACATTATATCCTCATGACTTATTTATTTAGTAAATGGAGTTTGTACCTTTGACCCCCTTCACACATTTTGCCCTGCCTCTGGCAACCACTTACCTTAAGAATCTCCCTTTTAACAGATGGAGACACTCAGGCCTTGGTAATGGAAAGTACTTGTGTATCTACACATGGAGAGGACTCAAACCAAAGTGGGGGATGAGGAGAAGGATGGGTTTGGGGAGGGGAATTGTTTGTACTGGGAAAGGACTGGGGTCCTGCATCAGCACCCCTGAGCAGCTTCAAACAAAATAAAGCAATGAGTGGGGAGCCTGGGGGCCTCAGTTGGTGGAGCTCCCGACTCTTGACTTCAGCTCAGGTCATGATCTCAGGGGTCATGAGATTAAGCCCCCACGGGCTCGGCATGCAGTGTCTCTTGAGATTCTCTCTTTCCCTCTCCCTCTACCCCTTGCCCTGCTCATGCGCACTCTCTCTCTCTCTCTCTCACTAAATACATAAAATCTTAAAAAATAATAATAAAGCAATGCGCTTACACTGAAGGACAAGACAAATTTCTGGACCTCCCCCCAATTTCCAATCAGATGTAGCTTTCAATCTCCTGCATAGAGAGACTCACTAGCACACACATACCCACATAGCACAGAGAGGCAGGCATATATACACACACACACAAATCAAACAGAGACATACCACAGACTGATGCACAGACACACACACCTGAGACACACACCAACATGGATACACAAACATAACAGAGACACACGGAGATAGGCACATATATACTACCTAGAGACATATTCAGATAGACACACATAGCACCGAGGAACACACACACAGACACACTACACACAAAGACACTCCACGGAGAAACTCACACATAGATACACACACACACACACACACACACACACACAGAGCCAAAGTGTGTGTTGGGGTGATTCTTGGAGCCCCCACGGATCCACACAAGCGCCAGAAGTTCTCTTCTTATAGCCTGTCTATAAATCGCAGTTCTTCACAACTGTCACCCATAACTCAGGGAAAAAGAGAAGAAAAGGAAAAGACAAGGAAAAAAAAAAAAAGTTTTGGACAGAGAATGGTAAAAGACACAGACCAAAAACGAAAGATAAGGAAGAAGACCAGTGGTCCCGCGAGAGAGTAGGAATCTCCCTCGGAGGAGGGTGGGGCGGGGCCCCGAGGGGTGTGGCCACTGCAGGAACCGCCCCCGGCCCGGGCCCTCGGGAGGCCTGGGTGCGGAGAATGATTAGGGGCTTGGGGGCAGTCAGAGTCAAAGCTGCAACTATTAAAGACCTAGGGGAGGGGGTAGGGAAGAGGCGCTCGGGAATTGTAGGTCTGGGTTAGCTCCTCCCCTGCAACTCACCATCCCTCAACCTCAAATATACCTAATCACTCAATCTTGCTGGTACTGGAGAAGGAAGGTGACCTTGACGCAGCCTCCCGCTAGGTCTGGCCCCTCCTCCTCCCGTGTTAAGGTTGCTAGAAGACGGTCTGGCAGTCAGGGGGAGGGAGAGAGAGGATGCTCCGGACACCGCGCGAGTACCCGGGACGTGGGTTGCTATGGGAACTGCTGGGGAGGTGTCCTTAGGCGAGGGGTGGGGGAAGGAGCTTAGTGTGAAAGGAGCGGGAAGAGGAGGGGGGCTACAGGGTCGGAGGGGGGAGACTGCGGCGCAGGCGAGCGGAGGAAGTACGCGAAGGTGATAGGCGCAAGGGCCTGAAGATGGTTGGAACCTATTGCCTGAAGGGCCTCATTCAGTTCTCCTTTCCAAACCCCAGTCTGGACCCCTAATGCCCACAACAGTGTCCGGCGCTGCCGGGGTTGGGAGAAGGGGAGCCCTCTTGGGGGGCAAGGCCAGGGAAATCGGGCCAATTCCTCCCTTTCGCTACCGCACCGCTGTTTCTGATAGGACCACCAGTTCCCTGGCCGAGATAAACCGTATCATTTCCCCCAGGGGAAAGGGGGAAACTGAGGCACGGAAGGGCGGGAATAGGTTTTTAATAAAGAGGTGGGTGGGGGTCTTGTCCTCCGAAGCCTCTGCCCATCCTCTCAGCATTGAGGTATCTCTGGGAGACGGGGCTGGTGAGATCTCTGCCCCCTACGACTTTTCTGGGACCTCACCTCCCAAAGCTCGAGGCACACCAAGGCTTGGGCGCCGCCGTCCCGTCTGAGGTTGGACGTGGCGGGGCTGGGGATGCGGACTGAGGTGGGGTTCCCCGGAACCCGGGAGAAGGAGGGGTGGGGGTCGGGGCGCGCGCGTGGAGCCGGGTTGAGCTCACCTCTCTGCCTGCTGTCTCCGCCGAGCGGGAGCCAGAGCGAGAGCCGAGCAGAAGCTGGTTCTGTCGGCGCCTGCGCCGCAGTCGGGGGGCGGGGGTGATACGGGGCTGAGGGGTGAGGGGGGGCGCACCCGCCAGCCCCAAGGGCTGGCTCTGCAGATTGCAGACCCCTGCAGAATGAGAGCCCCTATCTCCTTCCAGATTTCCCTTCTCTCTCTGAGACCCCAGGCCGCTCGCGGAAACCCTATCGCCTCCCCAGAACGCACCCCCTCTTGCAGTCCCTCAAACTTCTGATCCGACTCTCCAACGCTCCCTTAATCTCCCACCCCTCTCCCTGAAGACCCTTGCTTCACCGAGCCGTCATTTCCTCATTGTATCCTCTCTCGGTATCCATCCCCTTTATGGAGCCCCTCGCCATAAGTGTACAAGTGCTCATCTTGCTGCCCCCTCCCCACTTTCTCCACAGATTCCAGTCTCTCTCTCTCTCTTTCTCAGCCCTCACCCTCTCTCTCTCAGGAGCCCCCTACCTCTTACTGAGGCCCTCACCTGTCACTGAATCCCTCATCCTCCCTCTCTTTCCCTCTTTGAGCCACTGACCCTTGCTAAGACTCAGCTCCTCTTATCTCGAAAAGGAAGTTGAGGCTGGGGAGAAGGGGTTGGGAGAGAAACTTCCTTTCCCCTCTGGAAGGAACAAGTGAGATAGCCTCTCTTGTTCTCTCTCCTAACCTACCCTCAGTTCTGCCCCAGGCAGTGTGTGCCCTGTGGCCCCTCTCTCTGGAGAACCAACCCTTGCCAGACAATTGTGTCTACTTCATTCCTTGTCATGAGCCCACAGCCTTGATTTTGTCTTACACTTGCTGTGTGGTCTTAGGAAAGTCATGGCACTGCTCTGAGCTTCATCAAACCCCATTGCACACACATGCCTTCACGCCAATGGTTGCCTTAAGCAACCATTCTGTCTTTCCACGTGCTGGGGTCTGGGGATACAGAGATGAATGAATTCCAAGATGAGGCCAGATCTTTTTCATTCACTGTTGTATCCCAGAGAGTTGTGTCGTGTTTGGCGTTGACTAGGCAGCTGAATCGATATTAACTAAACATAGACTAGTAATAATAACAAATACATGGTTTGTTATGTGCAAAGGGCTTGTCTAAGTGCTTTACATGTACTACTTACTCATTTAACTGTGTGTGTGAAACAGACACAGGCAGACAGAAAAAGAAACAGAGAGAAGTCCTAGAGCCCAAAACTAAAGACTTTGAGCAGTGACAGGAGATGATGCTGGAGAGGCAAGCACACATGAGACCCTTCAGGGCCTCATAAGCCAAGGTAAGGAGTTTGCAGTTCAACCCAAGGGTCATGGGGACCCATGGAAGCTTTGGAAGGAGGGATGTGTTCTGAACTGCACACTGAAAAGATCCCTCTGGCTGCTGATCCCTCTGGAGAACAGGCTAGAATGCTTCAGAGAGGAAGCAGAGAGATCCGAGAAGAGCCTCCATATCAGAGATAACTATGACTTGGCCTAGTGGGCTTGCAGAGAAATGAATGGATCCAGGAGATGTTAGGGGGTAAAATGAACTACAGGAGAAGCCCCTATGAAGTTGCCTGTCCCAGCTAGGCTTGGCCCTTGAGTGGTCCCAGTTTAGGCATCAGACAAGTGAAGAAGCAACCAGATGATTCCAGTCCGAACTGTCTGAATCAGGTTCAGCTCTGATAATAATGGGAGAGGGGATGGAAGAGGTTCCAGAGGCGATGGGAAGGGATGAGGTCAAGTGTACAGGAGGGATAGGCTTTGAGCCAGCCCAGGAAGGATCCAGTAACCTCTGAGACCTCGGGGAAGGAGGGAAGATGGCCACTGAGAAGAGATACAGTGTGGTGGTTATGTGTTGAACTCTGCCTGAAACAGACCCAGGTTTGAATCTTGGTTCTGCCACTCACTGTTTGCATGATTTAACTTCTTTGAGCCTCTGTTTCCCTGACCATGAAATAGAGATAAGTTTAGTGGTTGCTTCTCAGAGGGTTTGTAAGAGTGAAATGAGATGTGCATCGAAGACCCTTAGTGAAGCACCTTGGCACAGAGTCAGACCTCAACAAATGATTGTTGTTGCTACTGCTATTATTGGTGCATTAGTTTATAGGTAAGGAGGGCAGGGAGTTGAATGACAAGACATCTGATAAACTGAATGCTCTGGAGAAAAACAAGAAGAATCATCTATTAAGAAAGAATGGTTTTAGGGGTGCCTGGCCAGCTCAGTCGGTAGAGCATGTGACTCTTGATCTTGGGGTTGTGAGTTTGAGCCCCACGCTGGGTGCAGCAATTAAATGTAAATTATTAAAAAAGAAAAAGAAGAGAAAGGTTTTAGTTCAACAGGAGGCTTAAAAAGGGTGGTGAGACAGATACAAAAGGCCATATGTTGTATGTTTCCATATAGATGAAATAGCCAGAGTCAGAAAATCCGTAGAGGCAGAAAACAGACTAGTGTTTCCTAGGGGGTGGGGAAAGGGAGGAATGAGGAATGACTGCTTTATGGGTTTCCTTTTAGAGTGATAGAAATATTCTGGACTAGATAGTGGTGATGGGTGCACAATTCTGTGAATGTACCATCACTAATGACAATTTTATGTTATGTAAGTTTTACCACAATCATTTCAAAATGTGGTCAAGATTTGGAATAATTAATAATGATGATGGTGGTGGTGGTAACAGATGTTACTTACTGAGCATTTACTAGGTGCCAGCGTAATTTATCTTCTCAATAACCTTATGAGGCCACTTGCCTGAGGTCACCCACCTGAGGTCATTCAGTCACGATGCAGAAGAATCTGAATTTGCTCTGATGGCTCTGAGGCCATGATCTATAGAGGCAATGGCGTGCACAGCTGTGACTTTCTCTGGCAGTGTCAGGAGAAATGGAAATGAAGGGGGCTGCTGGTACTTCGGTTCTTGGGTGAGGGGGTTCTCCTGGACAGGTGGGGCAGAAAAGAGGGGTGAATGGGAATGCAGAGGGGTAAACAGATCCCATAATGAACCTCAGGATGGATCCTGGCTCAGTGGGGAAGGATGCCAAAGGCAGCTGAGAAAGAGAGCAGATGGATCTGGAGAAGATGCAGGAATTCCAGACGGAGGAGCTCAATGAAGTCCAAAAATAGGTATATGGGAAGAAAGGGAGCCTGAGGTCAGAGTGTGGGATGTTGTAGTTAAACATTTTAGATGTAGAACGCTGTAAGAGATGAGAAGGTTTACTAAGCCAGTGCTATCCAACAGAAGTTTCTGCAAAGGTGGGAATGGTCTAGATCTGTGCTCTCTGAACAGAACCTCTGGCCATATTTGGCTATTAAGCATTTGAAATGTGGCTAGTGAGGCTGATGATTGAACTCTAAATTTTATTTAACCTTAATTACTTTATTTACTTCTTTATTTTTAAGTAGGCTCTACGTCCAACATGGGGCTTGAACTCACAGCCCCAACATCAAGAGTCACACTCTCTACCCTCTGAGCCAGCCAGGTGCCCCTGACCTTAATTACTTTAAACTCAAGTTAAAATAGCCACATGACGCTAATGGTCGTCATACTGGACAGTCAGGTGTCAGTGGGACAAATCTTGCTGCCAGGGCCCTACTTTGAGCATGACTGTCATCTCAGACCCCCATCATCCAACCCCTTTTACCTAGTGTTTTTGCCCTGCCCCGTAGTGGTCTCTTCTCTACATTGTAGCCACAGTGATCCTTAAAGCAAGAGTCAGATTCCCATATAGGAGTCTCATTCCCTGGTCAAAACCCTCTAATGACATCTCATCTTACTCAGGGCAAAAGGAGAAAACTGTGGTGGATTAAAGATGGCCACAAACTCTTTGTCACTCTGCCCTTCAAAAGGTGGAGTTTCTTGCTCCTCAACCTGAGCTGGCCCTGCCATTGCTTCAACTAACCAAACATGGCAAAAGCAATGCTGTGTCTGTTCTGGACTTAGCTTTCAAGAAGACCAGCTTCCTCTTCCCTCCTCTCGGAACACTCACTCTGGAAAGCTCCCTCTTGGGCCCCAGTCCCCATGCCGAAGAAGCCCAAACCACATGGAGAGGTCCCATGCTGGTGCTCCAGCTGACAGTGCCGGCCAGACCTCCAGCCCATAGCCAGCACCAAATACTGTATCAGTTGGCATGGTGTGAGCGAGTCCTCTCGGACATGTCCACCCACTTGAGCCCCCAGATGACATCACGTGAGCAGAAGAGCTATCCCACTGAATCCCATAAACCCACAGGATCGTGAAAGATAATAGAACAACGTTAAGCTGTTAAGTTGAAAGATGGTGTGTTACACAGCAATGACTATCCCAAACCAGTTCTTTTTTTTTTTTTTTAAGATTTTATTTCTTTGTTTGACAGATACAGAGAGAGAGAGAGTGAGCACAAACAGGGGGAACTGCAGGCAGAGGGAGAGGGAGAAGCAGGTTCCCTCTGGAGCAGGGAGCCCGACGTGAGACTCCATCCCAGGACACAGGGATCATGACCCGAGTTGAAGGCAGATGCTTAACTGACTGAGCCACCCAGGCACCTCCGAACCACTTCTTACTAGGACCTATGATTGCCCTTTCCCTACAACCTTACTTACCTCCGTGTTCTCTTCTTCCATTCCCTCACTCACCGCTCCAGCCACACCAGCATCCTTGAGTAAACTAAGCCCATCAGGCAAACCCCTATCTCAAGGTGTCAGAGCCTTTGTACTTGTTTCTCTGCTTTATTGCTCCTTCTCCAGATATCTGCATGGCTAGCTTCTAGCTTTATTCAGACCTCTGCTCATAAGAGGCTTTGTTTAAACACTTTGGTAGAGATATAGACCGCTCACCAAACTTCCATGTGCATCACATACATTTCTCAGTTCCCTTGAAGTTAGACCAAACCAGGTGATTAGTTCTGGCCAATGAGATCCAGGACTCCAAAGAGATCCTTGGCCGCAGATTTTCTTGGAAGAGAAAGAGCAGAACTTAACATTCATTTAGTTAACAGAAAACCCTGAAAACAACTGAGGGTGAGAAACTGGGTTGCTAAGAAACCTCCTAGAACGGGGGAGATGTTTGGCATCCATTG